GCTGCTAAGAATGATAGATACGCTGTACTCTACGCATTGCAGGTCGTGAAACCAACGTCTGCTTTGGTTGATAGCTCTAATAGCTTTTGTGAGGTTAAAGTCAGCAATTTAAAAATCATTGATGATGCTACAACAAAGAATTTGGTAGTGTGTCGAGAAAAGACTTCGCATCCTATGCATCAGTTATGAAACATCGAAAGAGATGTATCTATATCTCCATATAAATATGAGACCATGACAGCAATCAACTGGAAACTATTCCAAAATGATACACATTGTTATCTATCAGATGTTGTTGAGTGCCGACCGAATTTAAAATGTTTGTGCCAGAAACATATAACTTTTTTCCGCATAGAAATGAAACCTTAGGTTCTTCTATTTTGATCTTATAGTTTATACAAGTTTCAATGATGTTGGTGAAAGCTCCTTGATAGGTCTGAAAGCAATTTATATAATATAGTCGAGTCTTACCTATGCATAACTTGAAACTATAGCATATTGGTTTGTTATGAATATACTGATTATGACGTGTCCTATAGTATATACAGAACCATGACTTCATATACGTTACGATTTTCTTCAATACATTACTCATAAACTTTTCATAAGGATATATGAAAAGTGATTGTGGCGAATTTCTTAGAAGGATCTAAAAAGGTGATATCTTGATAATAAATATTGGGCAAGATGAATTTATATTTGTTTGTTGTTTTGCTTAGTTCGCTTGAGAAACTAGTTCATTGTTGAAATCGTGCGAAAGTTTTCAATATGTAAACACTACAATGAAACAATCTTTTGTATGGCAAATTGATTAGTATCTTCTAGTATTCTATGAAAACGTTCATCATCAAAAATAGAACGAAGAAGATAAGGTTTTTCAATATCGTTCATGGTAAAATCTTGTGTCACATAATAATATTTTTCTTCATTTTTCCTTTTTTCGCATGAACAAAGAAGCCTTTTTCTTATTTGTGCTAAGGGTATTATAAATTATCCGTTCATGAAATTCTCTCACAGGTCTACGATCAAGTTCCGGATCTGTAAAACAATTTTAAGGTCTGTAATGACATATGGCTGTAAGATCTGGACGCTATGTCAGAGATAGATGTCATCGAGAGGAGGATCGTAAGAATCACACATAGAGAACAACATATGTACAACCAGGAACTATATAGCTGCTACAAGGGGCCAATGTTCTCAGAGTACATCAAGACTCAAAGATTGTAATGTGCAGAACATGTAGCCAGGATAAAGAAGGGGAAGATGCCGAATCAACTGCTGAACAGGAGAATGCAATGATCGAGACCTATGGAAACGCTGAGAGCAAGATGGGAGGAGGAGACGGACAAAGACGTCAGTGATGTCTCATTTTGCAAGACATTTTCTTAGACCTTTTTTGATTCTGCACCCTCACAACTCTCTGCCAAAATGCTTCTTTTAAAGTTTGTACAAAAGTCTGTTCACTTATACCATGTTAAAGTTGGCGACAACAAGCTGTTTCACACGAACACTCAAATGCAAGTGTTTTAGTTCACAGATTACTTGAGTTTAGACTCATGGATTTTTATCACTAACAACATTCCACACCAAATATGTATTTATACCAATAATTAATAAATAAATGTAACTCTCATTTATTGATGTACTAATTCGCATTGGCAGAAATATTTGAAAGGAAACTTCAGATAACTCAAATGACGGAAAATGCACTATTGAAGTAATCATAGAAATTGTTAGGTTTCCTTACGGTTGACCCTAAAACTCGATACTAAATCATTTTTGAAGCGAAGCATTACTATTAACGAACAACTAAAAATGTTTCGTGAAAAATGTTCTTTTTGAGTATACAGGGTGTTTCTAAATTGATGCGAAAGATTTCAAGGAGTGATTTTTCAGCAAAAATTTGAGTTACAGCACATAAAGTTAGGGGAAAAATGTTTTTATTTAATAAATCCACTTTGGAACAATTTAGAAGAATAAAATTTGGCAGATAACTGTTACTAATAAAATGACACTTTTTGACGATCTTTATAACCCAAAAATTTTATTAGAAATGGCTGAAAAAATCAACCCCTATAATACTTTTCATTAGAACTTTTTAATGCGTCTACATTTTTCTATTTAAAAACATTGATACATTAAATAGACGGATTCAATACGGATTTTTTTGTCTCTTGACATTTTCTCCTAAAATTGTTAGTTTAATCACAAAAAAAAAATAATACACAGGCTCAATTGAATTAATTCAGAGATTGGTTATTATTAGTCAAAGAAATGATGTTATGTCAAATTGATCTCAGCACAATTTGTTAGCTGTAAAATGTCAAAAGATAAGAAAGTTGCAGAATTTTTCGCTTAATTTTAGAGGGCTATAACTTGAAGGAAAAGGGGTTTTCAGCAAAAAGTTATATGAAAGACACCCCTTAATTTTTGCTGAAAAATCACCCCTTGAAATCTTTCGCATCAATTTAGAAACATCCTATATATAAAGAGCAAATCTGGGCGTTTTTGTTTAAAGTACAGATTAGTGTGGAATTTGATATAGCATACATTTTGAGCAGGGTAGTCGTTTTATTTGCTTCCATTCCTTTATAGAAGAATTATTTCAAAAATGACTGAAGATAACAATATTCCTCAAGATTTTCTGAAAAACAAAACATGATGAAGATTTGCAATATGTTCCTTGAAAAAGTAAAGCAGTTCAAAGATGCAGAGAATTAGAAATTTGCACCATAATAGCACTAAAGGTACTGTAGATACTGGAGATCAAGTAAGAGAGTATTTTTATATCCGAGCTGTAAGACCAAACGAATTTTTTTAATTATAGACATGCACCAAAGAGAAATTATGTGAGATTCCAATTTAGTTAGCTTCGTTAGTTTCGATGTTTTTGTTAAACCATATATGGCACTAAATCCTTATTCAACAATCAACATGGAAATGAAAACAATAACTTTTTAGTACTCTTGGTTGAATCAGTCAGTTTTTGCTTGCTTTTTCGTCATAGAATCCATAAAATGCAATAAAATAAAATAACTTCAGCAAAGATTAGCAACAAGAACTTTATGTTTCTGATAAAATTGGCTAATTAATGAATTTAGGTTTCTTTCGGCTAAATAAATCATAAATCCACTGTTAACGACCAGCTTTTGTTAACGGTTCTCTTCAGGTGTATCGCTTAAAAGATCGTTAGCACACATGTCTGACATTTTGTACTTTGTAAAGTAGTTAACTTCCTTCGTTTGAAACCGTTTATTCCTTGCTATCTAGTTTTCCCAATGATTAACAGAAAAAACAATAATGATGTCTGAATTTTCATCTTAATCAATTTTTAGCAGCCGTTTTCCTTGCTCATTATATTCATCATCTGTAGCATAAGATATTTTATTTTTTATGTAACATTACAGAAGAACATTTTATGCTTGAGGCGCTTGTTACTTTAGCTATCTCATCTTTTTTAGTAGTTTTGCAATTCAGTATTTACTCTACCTGCTTTAAATAATTTTTCCTTTTAAACAAAAATTGTTAGAATTTGCTTTTTTAATTAATACATTCTTTTAGAGTTATTTGCCTATACATAGAGAATAGAACAAAATCATTCAGGAATTGTAGTTCAACAAGGCGGAAATTTAACAACAATCTAAAATAATTGTGTTTGAAACAGTGGACGTGTTTGCACGAGCGAATCCGTAGCGTTCGAGGTTATTGTTTAATTAAAACCGAGGCAGGGTAACGAATATTAAGGGTGGTATTTGTCAATTTTTGGAACTATTGATGCGGAAATTGGCTGAGTTAATTACGGATTTCCGCTAGTTTACTCGTTGCAGAGTATCATTCAATCAATACCAATTAATATTGAAAAATCAAGAAAACATTGTTATTTTTTGTTGTTAAAAATGTGTCAGAATATATCAATTGTGTTCTGCAGTTGCAGTCGATTTGCGGTCAATACGGAAAACATATTTTAAACGCCGTTTCCAGTTGCCGCCTCCCCAAAATTTACGATTTTATTATAAATTATTTCGTTCATTTCCGCGCTGTCCCGTGTCGTAAATCAATTAGCCCGATTTATGACTATTAGATGGCGCACGGTGCAATTAATTCGTTCGTTATCGCTGTCCCGCCCCCTAGTGACACCCAATCCCAACTAATTACACCAGCCTGCTTCATTTCGAAACTGGAAAATTTTCAATCCTCCATCTCCTCACCTCACCTCTTACTCCGAGCAATACCTTTTCCACATCCACACAATGGCCGCCGTAAAATTAGAACCGCCACGTCACCCACCACCACTGAGAGCGAGAGATAAATCGATACCGGAGAAGACATCGTTTCTTGTTGTACGAAAGGAACCTTTTCCGAACTAAATTGTAAATTTTGAAAGAATTAAGATCTCGAACGTTTTGTAAGTTTACCAAAGCTGACGTTTTAAGCGGAAGGTAATCGAGTTTGTGTCCCTTGTTCAGATCATTTCCATTAACCTGGCGTGGTTCTTAAAGCGTCCACGTAATTGAATTAGTGCTTCCCCAGCTATCAGAAAGAATTACAGACTACTTACTCTTCTGATCATCGTTAATCTTTGTAATTTTGATTGATATCTAACTCAATATCTAATTTAACAACAAGCTCTTCCTCATATAAGTTTTTGCAACACAATTATAACTTCTTACTTAGAATCTCACTATACTATATCAATCTAGTATATTCCTTAAGCCCACTTTTACCAACTTCATGATAAACTATCTAGCGGATAGTTCCCATGGTTACAGCAGTTCTCATTGGCTAAGAGCTGGATAAATTTATTGAGAGTTGGCACTTTTGGAAACTCTTAACAATTTATTTTCTGATAAATGATGAAATTTATATAAATATGTCAAATTTAAAGTAAAGCCGTCTTTTTCGTTCAAGCAGGTGTTGTGTCTCAAAACGTCGAGACAGCATGTTATCGGAAAAGCAGGAGAAAGATTTCAACCCCTAACCGCGTCCTATTTTGCTTTCAGTGCACGCTGGATCGCGACGCTTTTGCGAGAGGCGTTGCTAAGCAACGGATGACGTCATGTCCATCTAGCGGTGAATCACGCAAGTGCCAGAATCCTCCGAAGCCGGATCGGCCTCGTGGTTATTCACGTCCTTCGAAACCCACCACCGCCGAGATGGTTTCAACTCCCATTCTTTCTCACAACCACTTTATGTACTAGGTAAGTCACCCCCTTTTTGAATTTAGTTCTATTTCGATCGATGAAAGGCTTCCATTCTTCATCGTTTCTCGGAACTCGGGATATTTTCGCGCGACATAACCTTAGTCAAGTGGAGTTGGGCGAGAGAGTTGAAGCGCCCTCTGCTCGGTAACCCGCGAAGGCTGTAAAGCAAACTGTAACTCTCCGGTGGTGGCCTGATTAAAATGGGGGGTTCGTCGTAAATCTTTTTTTAGGTGAGAGAAATGAAAAAAAAGTGGGGTAATTAAACGGAAAGATTTTTTGAAATGTTGCCAGGGAGATGTTTGAAGAGAAACGGGAAAAAAATTACCGGAGGAAAAAATTGTATATCGACGACGTTCTGAGGGTTAATTTGGGGAACGGTGAAGAGTGAAAAATCGTTCTATTTGCCGCCAGTCGATACAGTCCATTAAAAACCAATCGCCCCACAAAGCACAGAACCCCAAATTCGATAAAGGTAGATATAGCGTAGCCCATTGCTCTGGGGCATTGGTTTTGATTGGACTCGTTAAAAATTAGTTGAGGGATAAGACAGGATCCCTATAAAAACGAAAAATTTAATTTCGTTACATAGAACGATCTTTATCCTTCACTACTTCGGTAAATGAAACTGCAAACGACGCGCATTTCCCGTTTAACAGGCAACTGTTTATCACTTCTTTCCATTACATCCACCAACGGGAGCTTAAAGCTTCTCTTCTGTAAATCCCCCGTTGGATGCAATATGTCCTCCAAGCACCTGTTATTACGGACAAAACCACGAACCTAAAGAGAAACGATGGATTAATGCTTTTGAAGGGCTTAGAGATGATGATGATGCACGATCGTTGATAAAACAATTTATAAATATTTACAATATTTCAAGTACTACTAACAATATATTGCGGATTATTAAAAACATCGAATACGGAGGATTACCATTATAGATTACACCAAAATTTGTTTTTACTATCGATCATTCAACTTGAGGATAAGATATAATCAAGTCCTTAATTGACAATTTGCATAATGGACCCCAGATGGGACACTGAAACATGCCCCAGTTGCATAAACAACTCTGTGTAGATGCGACGACTACGGCATCTCTTCGGTGGGATCTCAACGAAGCTCAAGGCAATAATATCGAATAGACACGCAGCTAGAACAGCTAGGTGTGCAGAATTATGCGAATTAGTAAATTAACACAATACAGGAGGAGTAGCAGGATGTCTGCGGCTTGCTTAATTTTCACAGTTAACTTTAACGTTTCCAAACGAATTTCAACATAGTGCTGAAATTATTGTAACAAGCTTGGATTAGTAGTGTCCTCGTCGAAACTTTGAATGTTTCAGATTATTAATATAACTTGTGGTTAATTAACAGAGTACATATTGTAATTGAATTAATTATATCTAGTTATATATATAGAATGGGTCAATAAAAGCAGAAATTTCGTGACATTGTACTTTATAAACAAAGAAGTAATAATAAAATCCTTTCTGTAGCGAATAATATAAAGCAAGAAATGAAATGAAGTATTCATTTGATGTCAGATTTCAGTGTTTTAACCCAACCCAAGAATTTCGAAAAGAATTCGTCGACAGTCGTTTCGTTTTCACCCCTTTTCCCATCCCCTTTCATCTCCACAGTTTTTACTAATTAATTTATGCTCGCGGCACAATGGTAAAGCTGTCGCTTTGTGAGAATGCGTGAAAAACGTACTAAACGACGCTTCAAAGACAATTCTAAAACCGTCGAGAATTTTTCTTCCACTTTTGTCGGCAATTTATAAAACAGAGAAGAGAAGGATGCTGCGTTTTGAATAATTTTCGAGATGGGAACCTTTAAAAGCCGTCCGGACCGATACGGAAGCTTAAATGTATTAGTTTTACGACATCGTATCGTCTCGTGTATATCGAGAGAATCGTAATTTTCTAGCAAGGTGAAACTTTGTGCATAAATATTTTTAACATTGCCTTTTTCTTTATTGTTTATCTAATTCAAGTTGTATACGTAAAAAGCGTTTTAAAGCAAGTTCACAAATTTACCAATCCGTTTTAATCCGAAATCCAAAAAGTCTAAATCGCAACTACTTACTCTCGTAACTAGAATTCACCAGTTATATGCGTTGAAAACTCTTCACTTAACTAACCACAACATCACTTACCCTAAATTGAAAACAACAAAGTAGAAGAACAACTTTCAATTTATTTAAAACGCGTAAAATGGTTGCGGATCACGTCAAAAAGAGTAACAAAACGAACTCAAAATCACGAATACGAATGGACATTGATCAAATATTTGTTGCTCAGTGGATTTTTGAACCTGTTAATGAAAATACTTTGGAACGTTTTTGCTGCACGATTTTCCATCCTCGTGTTTGGTGTTCGTTTTTGGAAAAAGCGGCATAAACGTTTCGATTTTAATGGAAAAAGTGTTGTTTGCTTTATAACAAAACTTCGTGGTGTTTGTAGCGATTTTGCATTTTCGGACGAAAAGCGTTCTGATTTGTTTGAATAATAGGAATAATTGAATTATTTAAAAGAAAAAACAAGGATTAATTTGTTTGTATTAAAACTACATTTTATTTTTAAATAAAAATTAACAAAAACAAAATATAAGTCCTTTATTTAGGCAATTCATTTAACATTTCTGCACCTTTCGAATAGGCAATTTATTTAACTTTTTTTTGTAGTGGAGTATAGTTAAACTGTACCGGAAGTGAATATACGATGCGGTTGGAGTCTACGGTGTTTAATCCAGAATGGGTCGCCCTCCCGAAAACGTTTAACGATACGCCTCTGGCTATACGTACAGAGAAGGCTCACAGTAGCACCGGGAAAGATAACGCCTTTGTTTTCGTTTCCTGGCCTCGTTTTCGAGCGATAAGCTAAACCGTTTTTGGGCGTTTATTTTAATATTCTGGCAACCGGGTGGTGGCCCGAGGATTACACGCGTTACCAATTATCAGGGGCGCCACACCTATAAATTTACTCATCGTACCATTGAATCATCATGATATATTTTAGAAATCAATAAATACGTTTGTTTTATTTCAAAAATATTTATAAAATGGAATATTATCTTTAAAATATTACTGCAAAGGTATTTATGGAAATCAAAACACTTTAGGTATTAAACAATTGTATAAGAAAAGCCCCATTGAGACTTACTCTTAAGTTTACATAATATAATCTAAGTCCAAAATGTTTTACTAACACACACGAACAACTTTGCTAAAACTAAGAGTTAAAATTTGGAGAATAAGTTGGACACCTACTAAATGAAATAAAGTTCAAGAAATGCTTTATGTACGTTTTCGCAATATTCCAGCTACTGTTGGTCCGTAGGGATTTTTGTCTAGATTCTGCCAATTCAATGTGGAGCAATTGAGAGGTTCAATGCAATAACCTGGTATGTATTTGGAAAGCAATCCATATTACTAGTAAATAAATACACTTTAAATCAACTGAAAGGTGTGGAAGGCTGACTTAAAGATGAAGAATGAATCACAAATTAGGAGTATCTAACAGAATGGGGAATTAGAATTTGAAATCTACGACTCCAAAAGCTGAAACCAGCAAAATAGTCACAATGAAATCAAAACCATAGAACATATGAGAACAGCTCGATCAGGAAGCAGTATCAATCACACAGTACGTTGTGAAATAGTTCCCATACAGCAAATATAACACAATAATTGACTTTATATAACAGATTGAACAAACGCGATGAGGATCGTTCAAGACCTTCATCGTTTACCTAAGCCAGATATGAAAGAGAACTTTACAAAACGAGATAACTCAAGATTCTGAACACTGAAATAACCAAAAACGAATGGAATTAACTTTCTCCATTATCATAAGTAAACTGAATATGTGGATTGAAGTTGTTAAAATCATAAAGGATTAAATCCAATTGTTAATCTGAAAGTATTTGTGAAGAGACTCCTCATCAAACAGCAACTGAGGTTCCAAATTGTTGCTTAAAATCTAAGTATGAAACACTGTAAGGCACCAATCAGTAGTGATGCGTTCTAATACTATATCTAACGCTATCTTGGTGAAATGAGACATCACATCTAAAGAAATAAGGACATAGCCACTAGAGCACAATTTAACTACCTGCACAAATGAGAAGAAGGGTTGGCAAAAATTCATAATGAAAATGTGAGTCAAAAAGTTAGAGAAATTATAAGATGGAGTACCAACAAAACAAATAATTGGCCTCACAGGACAAATTGGCACATTTGGCTGTATAACTTGAGAATAATTTTTGTGGGATATCAGAAATCCATATTTAATCTGTGGGTCTTACACAAATTACTCAGTTAACACAAAACTTGTATATACAGGTGTTTATTAAACATGTGGCAAAAATTCAAGCGGTTATTTATTGGACTATTCTAAGAATATTTTATCCTTTGATAATTTTTGAAACCCCCATTTGCTTCGAAGATACAGCATGAACAAAGATTTCAACAACAACATTTCATTACTAAAAATTACAAATATAAGCTTTCTAACCTACAATAACTGTTGAAAGTAACCACCTCCAAATCTTCTCCTCATTGACTGCCGAACCCTTTCAAAAACATTTCGAAATCGTTTCTTGTAGAATTACAACCAGCAGTTATACGATTTCACAATCTTCCACATTTTCCACTAGAGTAGTGTAAACTAAAGATTTAAGACTGCTCTTTAGAAAGAGATCCATGGGGTTTAAGTCCGAGGATTGGGCAGACCACAAGTGAGATCCACCTCGACCAATACAGCGATCTAAATATATTACTGTCAAAAACCCTACTAAAATACGCTGGTGCACCATTGTGCATAAACAACATTAAATTTGCCAATATGGTTCTGCAGAAAATTTTGTTTAGCCCTATATCTTGGAAAAAAGCTAATTTACATTACTAAACACACTAATTTCAAACTATTATTATCTACGGGTCCGAAAGTGTAACTATACACTAAACAACTGTTATCGTCCTTGTAATTGAA